GCGGGCGGGGCGGGATTGGGGGCACTGCGCTGCGGCGAGCTGCGTATTAGCGCTGCTGTGGCAGAGGAGCAGCTGGTGCACTACAAGTGGGTGCCGCCCAAACGCGTACCTAAACGTGATCGTACCGCATGACTGACGTGAATGCCGTGACGCTTCTCTCCCCTCTCGCCATAAATACACTTGCAGCTTCATGCATTGAGGGTTTCACTGGCATATATTATGCCTGCAGGCATGTGCGTGCTTCTTCTTTTTCTCCTGCATGTTTTCCTTTTCTTCCTTGCATTACATCTGATTTCCCACCCCTTTTTTTTTCTATTTTTCTATCTCTCTGTTTGCTCTGGCAGTAGAGCACATATACGATGGGGTTGCTCCTGCTAATGGCGCTGTTTTTAGTGGGGGTCGTGTGACGGTTTGTTAGGATTGTGCGAGGGCAGCCGGCGTCTGTCTACCGCGGAAGGGAGGTCCCACTGAACGTCTGCATCGTCTTGGGTTCTGGTGGACACACCAGCGAAATGATGCGGGCCATCAGAGCGCTGCCGCTGGACGTGTGGCGGGCCAATCGCCCCTTTTACGTCGTCTCCGCCACAGACGACCATTCGGCTGCGCTGGCTGCGGAGTTTGAAAAGGGTCACTTTCGGCGGTGCTGCCGGTTGCACACTATTCCTCGTGCCCGTGAGGTGGGACAGAGCTACTTCCTTTCGATCTTCACAACGCTCCACGCACTCGGGTCCTCGCTGCGCCTTATCGTTGCGGAGAAGCCCGACGTGCTTTTGTTGAATGGGCCGGGTGTGTGTGTGCCGGTGGTGGCGGCAGCACTGCTGATGGCCACACTTTTTCCTTCGTGGTACTACCCCCGCCCCGGCATCGCATACATGGAGTCCTTTACCTGCGTCCGCCACATGTCGCTTTCTGGGAGACTACTGAGGCCGTTCTGCGACGTCTGCACGGTCCATTGGCGGTCACTCTACGATGCCTGTCTCGGGAAGCGGCGGCGCAACAATGGATCTCTCTTTTACGTTGGTCTTCCGCAAGACGCTGCAGATGCGCCGCAGCCTCTGAGGGCGCCCAGGCAGGCGAGTCCACACCCTCCTAGCGGCGAACAGGTGGCTCTGGTCACTGTCGGCTCCACTCAATTTGATTCGCTGATTAGGGCTTTGGATGATGAGGCGGTTTGTAAGGCGATGGCGATGCGAGGTATCACGCGGCTGCTGATTCAAAAAGGGGCGTCGACGTACAACATGCGCATACGTGCCGCCAACTTTGTCACTGTGGATGTTGTTGCGTACCTTCCAAAGCTGCAGGAGGTTATTAAAGACGCGGCGTTGGTCATTTCGCATGCGGGGGCCGGAACCATCCTTGAGGCTTTGGAGTTTAAGAGGCCCTTAGTCGTCGTGCCCAACCGCGCCCTCATGTCGGATCACCAGCTGGAGCTTGCAGAGGCTCTAAATGCGGCGCGGTACCTCTTCTGTGTTCAGGTGGGCGATATCTGTCGCGAGCTGCAGACGCTCGACTTCAGCGCACTCCGCGTGTTCCCTGGAACGAATGCAGCTGCGTTGCGAGACGCACTTCTACCGCTTTTGGCAGCGGGGGATTTTAGTTCCAGTGACACATTAAAGTAGGGGGTGCTCGCCAAGGCAAAAGACAGGAAAAGAACGAAAGAAGAAAAGAAATGAAAATAAAAAGAAGAGGGTGCCGCCCTTGTTGCTGGTGGCCCGCGTTGAGTTGGGCACACACTCCTGCAGTACAGCACTGGGGGGCCGGCTCCCTTGGTCACCTTTTTCTCCCTGTGTACATACATGCACGTATGTATCTGTGCACAGTTGGGATGCTGATTGGAGTCCATTGCCATTTTTGTTTTGTTTTGTTTTGTTTTGGAGCAACGCCTTGTTTTTTGTTTTTGGTTCTCTCTTTTCTTGGTGTGTGTGTATGTGCGTCTCTTTTTCTCTCTGTGTGTGGTTCCCTCCACAAGTTGTATTTCAGGCGCCCTCGCAACGCGGTGGAGGGGGGAGGCAGATTGGCAAGAGAAAACAAAAAGCTTCGAATAGAATTGTCGATTTTGTGGCGGGAAAGGAGAGCAGGGAAAAAGTTGGTGTTGCCCATGGCAGATGGCGCCGCCGTACGCATCTTTAACCTCATCGATGAGGGCAAGCTTGCTTCGGCAGAGGGGCTGCTGGAGGCGGCACTGTCAAAGCACCCCGACAGCCACGCGGTGCTGGCGGCAGAGGCGTTGCTGCTGCTGAAGACAAACCAACTGGAAAAGGCGAAGGAGAAGGCGGAGGCGCTAAGCGAGCAGAACGTCGTGGACAAGGATGCAATAAGTGCCCTTGTTCACGTGCTCGGGCACTGCTGTAGCTGGGAGGCGCTGGCACGCACGTATGAGCGTATGAAGGGTGTTCAAAATGAGCGGAATATGATGGAGAACTTGGCTCAGGTCTACGTGCGTATGGGGTCCTATGATGCGGTGCAGCAGACGGCGGTGCAGCTTTATCGTAAATGGGGGGATGTGCGGTACCAGGTGTGGGCAGTGCAGGCAAATTTGTGCCAGGTCCCACCCGAGGCGACGGACCACCTTCTGCTTAAGCTTTCCGCAAAAATGCTTGACGAGAGTATCTTGAAAAGCAACGACCTCATCACCCCTTCCACGTCGCGGATGTATGTTGAGGTGCTTCAGCAGCAGCGGCTGTACAGTGAAGCTGTGGCGTACCTTTGCAGCACTCGGGGGGCGGCGGTGGGGGTTCCCGAGGCTCGACTGGAGCTCTTGGCGGCCACGCTGCGTTGCAAAAGCGACTTGGGCAAGGCCAATGCGGTGGCGAGGCATCTCTGGCACCGTCAACCGGACAATTGGACGTTTGTGGATTTGTACCTGAACACGCTCTCCGAAGAGGAGGAGAACCCCACCAACGCCGTCCTGAGACTGGATGGCCCCAAGGAGGAGAACCGCGTCGTCGTTCAGCTGTCCGAGAGGGATCACACGCTGGCGGACGCGCTGCGCCTCTGTCATAGCTTGCAGTCTACACCCGCGTCGGCCGGAGCCAAGCGACCGTGCCGTGGCCCGTTCATGGCGGAGCTAGAGGTTCTTTCGCGCCAGGGGGCCACCGAGGCCCTGCAGCAAAAAACGGTCGCCTACGCGAAACGCTTCTACGCCAATGCGTGTTGTTTCTTGGATGTTTCGACGTACCTGGACGGCACCTCAGCCGCGGCCATTTATGCCTGGGCCTCGGCGGAGATGAGTGCGGAGGAGGACGTGCTGCACCACCACACACGGCGAATTCTTGGACTGCGCTGCCACGTGGCCATGTGGGGTGCGACACGCGAGCAGCAGCCGGATCTCACCTCGATGGAGGACCTCTTGAAAGTGTGCTGCAGCGCATACGCCGAGACGAAGCCGCTCTCTGCTCATCTTGCATGGAGTGAGGAGGGCCTTCTTGATGGGTACATCACCATTGCGCTTAACATTGTCTTGCACGCCTATTATGCGACCCGTGATTTGGAGTGGGTGAAACGAGGGCTTTTGTTACTCGAGGCTGTGGATCGTAGGCAAAACAATCCGACTTGGCTCATTTATTCCGTTTGTTTTGCTCGCCTGCTTGGTCTGGCGGATGTGGAGGCCTGGCGCCAGCTCGCCTTCAAGAGTGTGCAGCACGACACAATGTCACACGCTGGTTACTGGCCGCTCTTGGAAGGCGTTGCGGTGGACGAGGCTTGCCAGTGGAATGAACTTGCCTGGGAGCACTATCGCGCGCTAGAAAGGGACTGCAGTCTGCTCCGCTGGAAGGTGTTTGCGTTTGCCTCATGGCCGGCCATGAAGGACCTCCAGGAGTACGAACGGCGCCAGACGAATTCTGTCGCGAGAATTGTGTGTGCGGTGCACCGCGTAGCTGCGGCGTTGCGGCGTTGCCAGACGCAGCGCAACGTGTTTGATCTCATGCGGTCGGAGGAGCGCACAATGGCTGAGGCGCTTGCGGCCCTTCAGGTCTCGCGGGAGGCGGAGCTAACCGACAACACCGACTGGGTGGTGGCACGGTCCCTGGTGCTGGGGAACATCCACGAGGAGAAGGTGCGAGCGCTGACGGACGAGTTGTTTGGCATGCCCACCAAGGAGCAACGCATCCATCACACGCGTCAGCTGCTGGGCAGCCTCATGCTTTTGCACGACATCGCGTTACTCGAGGAACACCGCCTGCAAGTGGCAAACGCTATGAAGCCGAAGAGGGCAAAAAAGCCTGTGGCCCAGCTCCCGGCACAAGCTCCTCTGCCGACACTTTTGTGCAAGGAGCACTCCGACGCGCTGCCGACGCTCCCTGTAATAGGCGCCATTGCACCGGCCCTTTTGGAGTTCGTGAGGGCGCAGGGTGAGGGCGCAGTCGTTCCATACACCACCGCCATTCAGGATGCGCTGCTGACTACTGTGGGATCGCCGCAGGTCCACAGCTTCCTGTTTCCCGAGGCGTTTATTTTGACTGCGCTTCTACAGGTTGGTACCGTGTCCAGGTTGCCCATCTCCGCGTGGTCCAAAGACCTCCATAACGCTCTCCAAAAGCTACAGGCGTTTCACCGCGATGACGTGGCAGCAACCGCACAGGGGCACGTAAAGAAGTTGTTTGAGGACAAGGCATTACGCGTGAGGACACTTTCAAGTGATTTGCTACGCGACGTTCTTGCTGCAAGTCGCCGACGGTGATGAGTTTTATTGATTTGTGTTGGGGCGTAACTTCATACTTTTTGGGAGCGCTGTGGTGTGTGCGGCTTTACGGCCGGGTTGTGCACGGGCCGGCAAACACTTTGACCTTTACAAATGCCTCTCTGCCCTCATTTTCCTGCGTATGCCTTTCTTTTTCCCCTTTTTTCACCTGAGAAGATTTTCGCTTTTTCTGCTTTTTTTGTGTGTGTGTGTGTGGTGTACGTTTTGTCAGCAAGGCATTGTTAATCACAAATGCAGATGCCGAATCCAGGAGGGGATATACGATACCCTGAGGCCGAGGCCGCAAAGGTTGGTACTGGCCCAGAAGTCATGGGTGTGCCCGTGGCGAGTAAAGTCTATTATGCGTCGCCGCCTCTGGTAACTCAGACCCCCATGGAGGTCCATCTCCCCCAACGGGATTGGAAGTACGGTACCTGTCACTGCTGTCAGGACTGCTCGCCGTGCGTGGAGGCCTGGTGCTGTTATTACTGCCAGCTTTCCCGACAGTACAACGTGGTGGTTCAGCGCGGTGGACCCACCATAGACGGGATGATCTGCTTGGCCGCATACTGTGGGGATTACTTTTGCGGTGGTATTGTTTCCCCAATTTTACATTGTTCGATGCGCACCAAACTCCGGGAAAGCCTCAACATCCGGGGCACGGTTGTTGATGACTTCTGTTGCGCCTTGTGCTGCGGGTCCTGCACTCTGCAGCAGTCTTTGATGGAGATGACAGCGGTGGGCATGTTCCCCGGCGCCTGCTGCTATGAAGCACCTCCCGATTGTGTGGCGATGCAGTAGATGCCGGCCGCCGTCCAGGCTCTCGGACGGTGTGTGTGTGTACGGGCGTAATCGTTTTCTTTTTTGTTGTTATTTTCAATGCGCGCAACAAAAAACAACAACAAAACAAACAACAAAAACAAACAAACAAACAAACAAACAAAGAAACAACAACAAAACAAACAGAAAAAAGGTAACCGAAGGTACATAATTGAACGTACACCCCCCCCCCCTATTCAGGGAAGATATGGCTCTACATGCGCCTTTATGTTTGACAATTGGAGTTGCGGCGGTACTCTGCTGCAGGCGACCACGCAAGAGATAATGGCTCAACGGATCGCTGTAAAAGTGATGGAATCTCCGTTTCCGGGCTCCAGGGCACTTCTTCTTGTCCATTTTACTTTTTTTTTCTGCCCAGGGGCAATATGGTATATTTATGTATGATGTGCATTTTTTTTTTTTTGGGTTGCAGCATCATGCGAACAAGTGCGACGTTACGACCCCAAAAAATAGGCGACCTGCAGGGTTATTTGGGAGGCAGCGGTGTCTCCTGTGCAGCTCCCATTTTTTTTTTTTTCCATCCGTTGTTGCTTTGGTTTTTGAAATTATACCACGTTGGCGGAGCTGTGCGAGTGTAGTTTTTGTGCTTGTTTTATTTCGGGCTTCCCACCCCAACCCCGGCCTCTACTGCTAATACCACCACTAGTGCCAGCAGTACTGCCCATGGGGAAGGGTCTGGCGGTTGCGGGTTTCCAAAGGCCGCCGCTCTGTGAGCTCCCCAACGAGGTCCGGTGATCATAATTTACCGCAAGAAACCTGGACAGCGGGCGGGGCGGATTGGGGGCACTGCGCTGCGGCGAGCTGCGTATTAGCGCTGCTGTGGCAGAGGAGCAGCTGGTGCACTACAAGTGGGTGCCGCCCAAACGCGTACCTAAACGTGATCGTACCGCATGACTGACGTGAATGCCGTGACGCTTCTCTCCCCTCTCGCCATAAATACACTTGCAGCTTCATGCATTGAGGGTTTCACTGGCATATATTATGCCTGCAGGCATGTGCGTGCTTCTTCTTTTTCTCCTGCATGTTTTCCTTTTCTTCCTTGCATTACATCTGATTTCCCACCCCTTTTTTTTTCTATTTTTCTATCTCTCTGTTTGCTCTGGCAGTAGAGCACATATACGATGGGGTTGCTCCTGCTAGTGGCGCTGTTTTTAGTGGGGGTCGTGTGACGGTTTGTTAGGATTGTGCGAGGGCAGCCGG